AGCAAAGGCAGCTTGTTCCTCCATCTTTCCCAGCTATAAACATACTCCTCCGGAACAGGGTCATCCCAGTCAATGCTATGCTTGCAGAGGTCCTGCAGGATTCTCTTCCCAGTTAGAAGCATTGAGGCAGCAAAGCCAAGTGGATCATATATTGAACTTATAGTCGAAAGCACACCTCTTCTTGTAAGGGGCTTGTCCTTTAAAGTGATCTTAAAACCAAACGTATCGGACTCGATATGCCATTGTACTCCAAGTGCTCGTTCGACTGGTAAATCGTCAAAGGTGAGGTCGATCTTTCTCAGGCACGGTTTCTAGTACTTTCCTGCTGTTGCTTGTTACTTTCGTGAGTGAGAAGCCACCTTYCTTGCATGCCTTAATGGTACTGTGTAAACGTTCGATTGCTTCGTCAACCGTCTCTTCTGATCTCAAACAGTCGTCTACATAGAAGTTTCTTCGCAGAACATCTGAAGTTTCCTTCCCAAACTCTGCTTCTGTGTCATCGGCCGTTCTTCGGATTGCATAATTTGCACAACTTGGAGAGGAGATTGAGCCAAATAGGTGTACGTTCATCTGGTACTCGTGTAAGCTTTGTGAAAGGTCTCCATTCGGCCACCATAGAAAACGCAGGAAGTTGCGGTGATTTTCTGTGACACGAACCTGGTGAAACATAGCTTCAATATCTGCCTGGAAAGCAATTGGTTCCCTCCGAAATCTTGTTAGAACTCCAACCAAGGAACTTGTCAAGTTTGGGCCTTGCAGCAATTGACTGTTTAGAGAAACACCACCATATCTTGCGCTACAATCAAATACAACGCGGATCTTGTCCGGCTTGCATGGRTGGTACACCCCATGGTGAGGTAAGTACCAGATCTTTCCCGGTTCGGCTTGAGGATGTAATGGAGATATTGCGCGGGCGTAATCTTTGTCTAGTAGATCGTTCATGAATTTTGTGTAGTCGTTATGTATCTTCTTGTCCTTGAGAAGTTTCKTTCTTGTCCAGRAGKTTCTTGAGATTGCTTGCTCCATGTTRTTTGGCATTAACTTATCCTTGTCTTTGAATGGTAGTGGCATTACGTAATGACCTTCCTCGAACTTYATACCTTCTMCAATTATCTTWAGGAATTCTWTGTCGTCTTGGGAGTATCCTYGAGCCTCGCCATTATTCAACCTCTCGCTAAACTCTAGCTYCAGCRTGCTGTTTAAACCTTTAGGGGTTATGATCTCCTTRACGGTGCTGATTAAGRCAATGTGATCCATTGATGTGTCGTTGTGGTTATCCTTTGCGCAGGTAAGATTTGAGATGAGTCCATTCGGGCYRTTGTGACTGTGCGAGGGTCCTACGATCACCCAACCAGCAAACGTTAGAACAGCATATGGACCACCTCCTTGGCTTGMAATGAAGTCCTTGGGTTCGATCGCCTTTGCGCAGTTTGCGCCGATGAGAAGACCGATCYTYAAATCYTGTAGTTGTCGGGGAACTTGTTTAGCTATTTGGTCTAGATGTTTCCACTTTGTTGCTATCTCTCGTTGTGGTACTTCATTTTCAGTAGCGGGTATTTCCTCTCCTAGGAAGGTTCGTGGCAGCTCTATACTGTTTTCTCCCTTGAGATCAGAGACTTTGAGGCCAGTCACAACCTTTGTACTTTGGGTTGATATTCCGTTCATAGTCTTTAGTCGAATCATCGTGTCTGTACCCTTTATCTTCAATCTCTCGTAGACATCTTCGGTAACAAAGGTGCCGGTACTACAACTATCCAACATGGCATAAGTGAAGATCTGATTTYCCATCCATTGCAGCTTGACAGGAACTATAGGTAACGATTGAGCTTGGTTAAGTTGAGATTTGTTGGCTTCAGAGGTGTCTATTCTTGAGTTTGAGACGACATTGCTTTCGGCGCTACTTGTCTTTGAGATGCTCGGTTTCGAGGTGAGGACGAAGTTGTAATCGTGAAGACCAGTAGGATGTCGTCCATCGCAGACGGTACATAATCTCTTTTGCATGCAGCCACGTGATCTATGACCTAATTTGTAACATCCATAGCACGCTTGTTTTTCGGCAAGGAACTTCTTTCTTTCAGTTAGAGTTTTGTCTTTGAATTTCTTGCACTCGTCGAGGTCGTGGCTTTCACTGCACAGAAGACAT